CACAAATGCATGTATTCGCACGTCATTGATTTGCTTCGCTGTGCAGGCGTTTGTCCTCGACAACAGAATTGATGAACCGAAAAACTTCTCTGACCTCAACCCCATCTCCAAGGTGCGGCTGTGTTCCTTCACTCATCCAACACACAACGCGCACACACACGCACATGTATCCTCACACACAACGCGCGCGCACACGCACACACACACACACAAGGCATGCACATGTATCCTCACACACACGCATACAAACACACACAAACACATACATGTGCACGCGCGAGCGTACCCTCATCCGCACACATCACTTGCCAACCTGCTGTCGCTGCTGGTCGTGGTGGTGTGCGACAGGTTGCGACGTGGGTGGTGATGTTGTACTGCTTCTACGGCATCGTCATCACGGAACTGCTGCAGGTCAGTCAACGTCATCTGTGGTGCTGATACTCGCTTAGTGTCAATACCGGACGTTGTCTTCATGCACTATTGCGACGTGTGCACAAACACACTCACATGTACACACGCACACACACGCATGCACACGCACACTCCAGCTGGTGCAACTTGGCCTGGAGTACTTCAACTGGCGGAACATTCTCGATTGGGGCGTCTACATCTTCTCCCTCATCCTCGTGCGTATTCATTTGTTCATTGTGCACGTGTGTGACATGTGTGTGTGTGTGCGTGTGCGTGTGTGTGCGTGTGCCTATCTATCCATCCCATCTATCCATCCATCCTATCTATCCATCATCTGTATTCATCCATTCTAATCTGTCTATCCATATTATCTGTTCATCTGCCTTGTGCCGTTTCGTTTGTGCACGTGCGTGTGTGCTGAATGCTTGCACTTGTTGCTGCTCGCTTCTGCCCATCCCCTCCTCACTCATCGCTCCCCCTCAAACACACATCCATACCCCCCCCCCAAGGTGATGTACCCGCTCATCAACGTCAACAGCACAAACGACACCGCCCACTGGACCACCGCATGGTACGCGCCTCACGTCCCACCTGCATCCGCCTGATGCACACGCACACGCACATGCAGATGCAGATGTGCTCGAATTTGTCGGTCTCTCTCTCTGTCTCTCTCTCTCTCTCTGTCTGTTTGTTTGTCTGTCTGTCTGTCGCGTGTGTCTTTCCGCTCATATTGCCCCCCCCCCCACCACCACGGTTCACGCAACCATTCAAACCAACCAATCAACCAATGTTCCCTTCACTCTTCCCCCATGCACACACGTACGCACAACACATACATACGCACGTGCGGCCAGGTTTGCTGGGAGCGTGGCCATCTTCCTGACGTGGATGAACCTCCTTGTCTTCGTGCGCCGTTTCGGTGGCCTTGGCATCTACGTGCTCATGTTCACAGACACGCTCGCAACTGTCCTCAGGGTTAGTTCGTATGGTCTGGCGTGTCTATGCACCTTATCTGGTTGTTGTTGTTGTTGTTGTTGTTGTTGTTGTTGTTGTTGTTGTTGTTGTTGTTGCTGTTGTTGTTGTTGTTGTTGTTGTTGTTGTTGTTGTTGTTGTTGTTGTTGTTGTTGTTGTTGTTGTTGTTGTTGTTGTTGTTGTTGTTGTTGTTGTTGTTGTTGTTG